GGGGAGGGTAGAGGACAGGGAGCAGCAAGGGGAGGTGGGGACAGGGGTGCACCAGCAAGGAGGTGGGGATTGCGCAATGGGTGGGGGCAGAGTGCAGCAGGGAGGAGTGGGGACAGGTGCACCAACAGGTGGGGACAGGTGCCTTATGTAGGGAGTGGGGACAGGTGCACTTGACAGGGAGGGTGGGGACAGAGTGCACCAACAGGGAATGGGGACAGAGTAGACCAGCAAAGGAGGAGTAGGGGGCAGAGTACACCAGCAAGGGAGGAGGGTAGGCAAGTGCACACCAGCAAGGAGGGGGTAGAGAGACAGAGTGAATGACAAAGGAGAAGTAGGGGCAGAGTACACCAACAAGGGAGGGTAGAGACAGAAATTGCACCAACAAGGAGAATTAGAGACAGAGTAGACCAGCAAGGGAGGTAGAGACAGAGTGCATAGCAAGGGAGGTGGGGAGACAGAGTGTAGACCAGCAAGGAGGTAAGGGACAGAGGTAGACCAGCAAGGAGGAGTGGGGGCCAGAGTGAACCAGCAAAGGAGGGTAGAGACAGAGTACACCAACAAGGTGGGGCCCAGGTACACTGTATAAGGAGGAGTAGGAGAGTAGACCAGCAAGGAGGTAGAGAGACAACAGAGTAGACCAACAAGGAGGAGTAAGAGACAGAGTAGACCAACAAAGAATTGAAAGTGAGACAGAGTAGACCAACAAGGAGGAGTAGAGACAGAGTAGACCAACAGGGAGGAGTAAAGAGACAGAGTAGACCAACAAGGAGGGAGTAGGGGGCAGAGTGAACAACAAGGGAGAGAGTGAGACCAGAGTACACCAACTGGGGAGGGCTGAAGCAGTGGGCCAACTGTAGGAGGTGGGGACAGGTGCACTTGACAGGAGGTGAGGACAGGTGGACCAGCAAGGTGAGACAGGTGCACTTGTAGGGATGGCAGGGGACAGGTGCCAGCAGGGAGGGTGGGGACAAAGTGCACTTGACAGGAACAGAGACAGGGTTGCACTTGACAGGGAGGGAGACAGGTGCACCAGCAAGGGAATTGGGGACAGGTACATAGCAACAGGGAGGGTGGGGACAGGTGCACCAGCAAGGGAGGGTGAGGACAGAGGTTGCACTGACAAAGGGAGGAGTGGGGACAGAGTGCACCAACAGGGAGGAGTAGAGACAGAGTAGACCAGCAAGGGTGGGGGGACAAGAATTGCACCAGCAAGGGAGGGTAGAGACAGGTACCAACAAGGAGGTGAGACAGGTACCAGCAAGGAGGAGTGAGACAGAGTGCACCAACAAGGGAGGGAGACAGGTACACCAACAGGAGGTAGAGACCAGAGTAGACCAGCAAGGAGGAGTGAGACCCAGAGGTAACAAGGAGGAACAGAGACCAGAGTACCAACAAGGGAGGAGTGATGAGAGACAGAGTAGACCAGCAAGGAGGAGTAGAGAACCAGAGTAGACCAGCAAGGAGAATTAGGGAACAGAGTAGATGGCAAAGAGGAGGTAGAGACAGAGTACACCAACAAGGGGAGGAAGAGACAGAGTACAGGAGGTAGGGGATAGGGAGGGTGGGGAGACCAGGGGTGCACCAGCAAGGAGGAGTAGGGAGACAGAGTAGACCAGCAAGGGAGGAGTAGGGAGACAGAGTACACCAGCAAGGAGTAGGGGCAGAGTACCTGCAAGGAGGAGTAGAGACAGAGTAGACAGGAGGAGTAGGGGCAAGAGTACACCAACAAGGAGGAGTAGAGACAGAGTGATACACCCAGCAAGGAGGAGTAGGGGCAGAGTACACAACAAGGAGGAGTGAGAGACAGAGTACACACCAACAGGAGGATGGGGGCAAGAGTAGACCAACAAAGGAGGGTAAAGAGAACAGGTGCAGCAGGGGAGTGGGGACGGGTGCTTGACAGGGGAGGACAGGTGCAGCAGGGATTGGGGACAGGTGGCAGCAAGGATGGGACAGGTGCACTTGACAGGGATGGGGACAGGTGCACTGACAGGGGTGGGGACGGGTGCTGACAGGGGATGGGGACAGGGTGGATGATGACAGGATGGGTGCTTGACAGGGTGGGGACAGGTGCACCGGCAGGGAGTGGGGACCAGTTGCGCGTGTGGGTGGGGTTGGGGACCCAGGGTGTGGACCGGCAGGAGTGGGGACGGAGTGGATGACAGGGGTGGGACAGGTGCACCCAGCAGGGTGGATGGACCAGCAGGGAATTGGGGACGGAGGTGGACCAACAAGGAGGTAGAGACGAAATTGCACTTATATAAGGAGGTAAGACAGAATTGCACCAACAAGGAGGAGGAGTGAGACAGGGCCAGCAAGGAGGAGTGAGACAGAGTAGACCAACAAGGAGGTAGAGACAGAGTACCCAGCAAGGGAGGAGTAGAGAGAGATGTGTGAAATTGCACCAACAAGAGGAGGAGTAGAGACAGAGTGAACAGCAAGGAGGGTAGAGAGACAGAGTAGACCAACAAGGAGGAGTAGAGACAGAGTAGACCAACAAGGAGGAGTAGAGACAGAGTAGACCAACAAGGAGGAGTAGAGACAGAGTAGACCAACAAGGAGGAGTAGACAGAGAGTAGACCAACAAGGAGGAGTAGAGACAGAGTAGACCAACAAGGAGGAGTAGAGACAGAGTACACCAACAAGGAGGAGTAGAGACAGAGTAGACCAACAAGAGAAGTAGAGACAGAGTGAATGACAGGGAGGAGTAGAGACACAGTAGACCAGCAAGAGGAGGAGTGAGACAGAGTGCACCAGCAATGGGGTGATTGGAGTACCAGCAAGGAGATGAGGGACAGAGTGCACCAACAAGGGAGGGTAGAGAGTACACCAGCAAGGGAGGAGTGAGAGTTAGAGTAGTTAGCAAGGAGGGTGAGATTGAGAGTGCACACCAGCAAAGGGAGGAGTGAGACAGAGTACACCAACAAGAAGGAGGAGTAGGGACAGAGTACACCAACAAGGAGGAATGTGGAAGTAGACCAACAGGAGGAGTAGAGACAGATGTAGACCAACAAGGAGGAGTACAAGAGACAGAGTAGACCAACAAGGAGGAGTAGAGACAGAGTAGACCAACAAGGAGAGTAGAGAGACAGAGTAGACCAACAAGGGAGGAGAATAGACAGATGAATGACAGAGGATTGGGGACAGGTGGACCCAGCAAGGGATTGGGGACAGGTGCATGACAGGGAGGTGGGGATGGACAGCAGGGTGGGGGACCCAGGTGGGGCCAGCCAGGAGGAGTGGGGACAGGGATGAAGCAGAGGGTGGGGTTGCAGTGGACCAGCCAGGGGTGGGGACAGGTGCACTTGACAGGGATTGGGGACAGGTGCATGACAAAGGGATTGGGGACCAGGTGGACAGAGGGTTGGGACAGGTGCACTTGACAGGGAATTGGGACAGGTGGACCAGCAAGGGTGGGGACAGGTGCACCAGCAGGGAGTGGGGACAGGTGCACCCAGGGAGGAGTGGGGACAGGTGCACCAACCAAGGGAGTGGGGACAGGTGACACCAACAGAGGAGGTAGAGACCAGAATTGAGACCAGCAAGGGAGGAGTGGGGACAGAATGACAGGGAGGAGTAGAGGACAGAGTGGACCAGCAAGGGAGGAGTAGAGACAGAGTAGACCAGCAAGGAGGAGTGAGGACAGAGTACACCAACAGGAGGAGGGAGTAGAGACAGAGTACACCAACAAGAAGGAGGTAGGGGCAAGAGTAGACCAGCAAGGAGGAGTAGAGACAGAGCCACACCAACAAGGAGGAGTAGAGATGTAGAGTACACCAACAAGGAGGAGTAGAGACAGAGTACCTGTAAGGAGGAGTAGAGACAGAGTACACACCAACAGGAGGAGTAGAGACAGGGTACACACCAACAAGGAGGAGTAGAGAGACAGAGTAGACCAACAAGGAGGAGGTAGGGAGACGGGTGCACTTGACAGGGAGGGTGGGGACGGTGCATGACAGGGTGGGGACAGGTTGGACCAGCAGGATGGAGGACGGGTGCACTTGACAGGGTTGGGGACGGGTTGTTGCCAGTGGGGACAGGTGCCAGCAGGGTTGGGACGGGTGTGGTTGACAACAGGGTGGGGACGGAGTGCTTGACAGGGAGTAGGACAGGTTGCGCAACCGGGGAGGGTGGGACAGGTGCACCCAGCAGGTGGGGACAGGTGCACCCAGCAAGGGAGGAGTGGGGACAGAGTGCACCAACAAGGGAGGGTAGAGACAGAGTGCACCAGCAAGGGAGGAGGTAGAGACAGAGTGCACCAACAAGGAGGGAGTGAGACAGAGTACGCAACAAGGAGGTAGAGACAGTGCATAACAAGGAGAATTAGGGGACAGAGTGCACCAACAAGGAGGGTAGAGGAGACAGGTGATGCACCAGCGAAAACAAGGAGGAGTATGAGAGCCAGAGTACACCAACAAGGAGGAGTAGGGGGCAAGAGTACACACTGCCAACAAAGGGAGGAGTAGAGACAGAGTACACCAACAAGGAGGTAGAGACAGAGTACAACAAGAGGAGGAGTGAGACAGAGTATTAGACCAACAAGGAGGAAGGATACACCAACAAGGAGGAGTAGGAGACAGAGTAGACCAACAAGGAAGTGAGACAGAGAGTAGACCAACAAGGATGAGACAGGTGAGACCCAGCAAGGATGAGAGACAGAATTGGACCAACCTTAGGGAGGGTGAGTTGAGGTGGACCGGCCAAGGGGTGGGGACAGGTGGACCATGGCAGGGTGGGGACAGGTGGACCAGCAGGATGGGGACAGGTGGACCAGCAGGGTGGGGACAGGTGGACCCAGCAGGGTGGGGACAGGTGCACCCTGTGGGGAGGGTGGGGACGGGTTGCACTGACAAGGGAGGTGGGGGTGGGGGTGCACCAGCCAAGGGAGGAGTGGGGGCCAGAGTGCACTTGACATATGGGGAGGGTGGGGACAGGTACACCAACAAGGAGGAGTACACCAACAAGGAGGAGTAGAGACAGAGTACACCAACAAGGAGGAGTAGAGACAGAGTAGACCAACAAGGAGGAGTAGAGACAGAGTACACCAACAAGGAGGAGTAGAGACAGAGTACACCAACAAGGAGGAGTAGAGACAGAGTACACCAACAAGGAGTGTGTTACATATGTCTGTGTATTTACATAACATTAGATGTGTGCTGTATATTCACTTTGTATCAGTCACTGTTGTAAGAGCAGTTTTCTATGAAGCAAATATCAAAGCTGTACAGTTCTATATTCTTTGTAATAATCAGTTCATTTTTTGCACTGGATGTGAATTATATTGGTTCTATTATGTGCTTATACAGTAATATCTCCATTAGACAGATTCCTTCTTAACCAGAACTCTCCAGTAGCCAGAATTAAAGTTTCCTCAGAATTTAAAAAAAAATCACAATTCTGGGTCAGAGAACAAAATCTGAAGTGGAAAATCAGGCGCATTTTATGAAAATTCCGAGAAAAATTCCGGAAAAATCTCATAGAAATTTTTATTTTGGTTTATTGAAGACATGTTGAGATCATTAGACCCGTGATCCTCCAACCTGACAATGGGTGACTTGATATTAGTGGGTCAGTAACATGACCCACTAACAACCTCCATCGAAAATGTTAAGATGTGATTACAGTTACGTATTTCAGTCAGCTGAGCGAACAGTGTCCGATTACTCTAGGCTAAAGACGACAGCATCTGCTGGTGAATACAGTACAGTATGTACAATTAAACTAATTACAGTACTGTACTGTGCAGTATACTGTACAATAATAAATATAAAATAATAGAATACTGTATTTTAACTTGCTTTGAGGTGTGTATGTCGTATTCCCGGCAGCTTTGTTTACATATCAAACAGCTGATTGTAGAGGCAGTCGATGATGACATGCCATATTCTTTACAGTGTGCATTGGTTCTAATGACTTCTTCGTGTTTCATAATAATTTCTGCACTGTATATTATCAATATGTTAACTAAATTTCAGAATGACCAATAATTTTAATGTAAAAATGCACAAATATCCAAGAGAATAACAAACTTGATGTAAACTCCACTGTAAACAAAGTTAAACTGAGAAGCGTTGTTGGGTGATTCGATCAGCTGTTGGGCGCACAAAACTGTTCCCTGTACAGTGAACCCTCACTTTACGCGGTCAATTGAACCCACGGAGGCCCGCGTAAAGTGAGAAATGCGTAAAGTGAACAACATAACATGTGGGATGAATTGAAATAGAGACCGGGGATATAGATAAAGTTCTTATAATATCTGAGCAGGATAGGACTCGGAGCACAATACCTACGTTGTAGAAGAGATGGCTGGGCACACGGGGATGGGGGGTTGGTTCCGAGGCAGAGGGCAGATTATTGGCCCTCACCTGTATCACGACCGGGTGAAGAACCCTGCTCGCGCCGCTCTCCGTGTAAAAGGGTACACACACCGCGGAAAGTGAGCATTCCGTGTTCGGCAGGGTACCGCGTAAACGTGGAAACGCGTAAAGTGGGACCGCGTAAAGCGAGGGTTGACTGTACTGTATATATTATCAATATGTTAACTAAATTTCTAAATGACCAATAATCTTAATATAAAAAATGCAAAAATATTCAAGAGACCAACTTTCTTGATATTTACTTCACTGGAAACGAATGTAAACATAGAACCAATTACTGTATTGGCAGACTGGCCGACCAGCTGATGCCACAACAAAACGTGTTTGTCGTAAGGATTTCGTTAACCGAAGTTTAGTTCGTTAATGGAACTGAAAATCCTTATAGGAGCTAATTCGTTAACCAAAATTTCGTTAAGTGAACCGTTCGTTAATTGAGGGACCACTGTATAGTATAGTGATATCTCCGTTAACCGATACAGCTGATGCAGAGCACTTCCAGGAATGAGAGATTTCCGGGTAACGAAACGACTCTCTCAAACTCAGAAAAAATCCCTCATCCCTCATCCCGGGTAACGGAAAAATTTTCTCGGAAGTTCCAGAAATTGCCCATTACACCATCTCTCGGACCCGGAAAAATATTCATCCTCTGAATTTTCCGGCTACTGGAAAATTTTTCTTTGAATTTCTGGAAATTGCGCCTGATTTTCATCTCTCAAACCCAGGAAAAAAAATCCCCCATCCCCGGAATTTTCCGGGTATTATGAAAATTTTCTCTGAATTTTTAGGAAAATGTGCCCCTCAGAAAATTGTTCCGAGAGGCGGAATTTTCTGGAAAATTCCGGCTTTGGAAACAATTTTCAGAGAAAATTTCAATTCCGGCTATTGGAGAGTTCCGGGTTTGAGGGATTCTGGCTAACGGAGATATTACTGTAGTGCAGTACGGGTAGTATACATTGTTTTGTTTACAATAACTGTATTATCAATATTGTACGTGTACAGTGGTGTTTGTGTAAATAAATACAGCTCCTGCAAGATATCACCCAACAGTGGGTGACCTGACATTGCATCAGGTCAGTCATATGAGGCCACTAATCCCACACCCTACCTCCACTTGACATTGTGTCAGGTCAGTTACATGAGACCCACTAATCCCCCACAGCTCCAAGGGAGTGTAAAACAACAATCTTTGTGTAACACACAGTTTCATTCATGCCAGTACAGTATCATATAGATTTATAATTTTTAAATATATTTATTTAACCAAACTTGTAGATAAACCACAGTTCACTATTCTGGATTATTATAGGAAAAAACTGAGTTTCTAACTAAATTAAAACTGCTTTTATGGACTACAGTAGTTTTGTCTCTCAGAAAACATTCCCTACCACCAGAAACATTCTGGGATGTGGGTTTGTGTCTGTCAGTGCAAGATGCATAGTTTAAACTCTTAGAAACTCTTCCCAGTAAGCAGAAAATATTCCGGGGATGTGGAAGTTTTTCCGGGTTTGAGAAAGTCGTCGGGTTACCGGGATCGCTCATCCCAGAAGTGCTCTGCACCCATTGTTCCGGTTGATGGGGATATCATTATATTTACTGTACTTTATTTCTAATCCATATCATTTATATTGAGTGGAAAATAAGTGATAAAAAGTCCATTTTTCTGAGACATGAATTTGCGAAGTCAGCTTGTAGCACTGTGCATTGAAGGATTTATTGGGGTCCTAAGAGTGAGATTCACCTAACAGTAAAATCTCTCTATTCAGCACCTCTCAATCCCCATAGGTGCTGGATAACTGGGGTTCCATTGTACAATACTGCAGATTGCTCTTGTAGCTATAACTGTCGTACAGTTTTTTAATGTTTTCTCACCCTTAAAACCCGGATGACTTTCCAGTACGTTCACTAAGGGAACCCCGGGTGACGTTCGTCAACGTTCTTAATTTTTGCTGCATATTTTGAATGTCCAGGCAAGATGAAATACTTTGTATTGGATATTTATTTAATTGGCAACTCAACTCGAGCATAATCTCTGTCTGGAGACTCGTGGTCATTTACCCACCAACTAATGTGATGATAGCACGTCCTCAACCTCTGTTCAATAATTTATAGCTCCTATAATTATGGCTATGATATCAATAAAATTGATACATATCATATAAATACAACAGCACATATTTTATGTACAAAAAATAGCTCCTTCCACACTCAAACCATCATTTAGGTGACAGACACAGTTCAGGCAGTCAACCAGCTGACTCACACACATGTGGCTGCTGTGCTGGGAGGGATCACAGTTATAGCCCAGTAACCCACTGGCTCATCAATATGTTATGTGCAGTACCAAAAGTGATTTCTTGCAGCCCCTCCTTCAATGAGCAGATATATGAATACCATTTACCTTGCCAAAATCAGATCTTCCAACTGATTGACACTATGGCATTCATCCAATACCAGACTCTCGGTGCAAAAACCTTAGCAGAGCTGATGACGCAGTATTGTCCGAAAAACTCTCCAGCTCAAACCAGTTAATTTTTGTTATATCCATCTTGTCAGAGACAGGTATAACTTTGATGCCACATTAAGTCTCAAACTGTATGAAAAGAAACATAGAGGAAACAACTTATTGTCTAAGAAATATATACTACAGTGATCCCTCGGTTAATGAACGCCTCAGTTAACGAAATTTCGGTTAACGAATTACCTTCCATAAGAATCTTCAATTCGGTTAGCAAACAAAAATTCGGTTAACGAAATTCTTAAGAAATCATGTCAACATGTTTTCGCTTGCTCACCAGCTGGAATATTAGTCCGCTAATACAGTAATCGGTTCTAGGGCTTAAATTAGTTCCCATTTGAGTAAATATCAAGAAGGTTGTACTATTCAATAATTTTCCAAGTTTTATATTAAAATTTTTAGTCATTTTAACACTTATTCAACATAATTGCAGTACAGGAAACTAGTTTTTGGTGCGCCAATCAGCCACTTCACTCACCCACCAAGGCGTCAGTTTGTATCTCTGGTCAGTGGAGGTAGCATCTTGCTTGTGGCTCTCTTGTACATAAACTATTTTTACATTTTTACAGTACAATTATTGGTCATTCTGAAATTTATTTAACATATTGACAATGTAGTGCAGTGCAGTGTTGATTTAAAGAAAATAATCTTGAATTACACCTAGTGAACTGAAAATTTTATGGGTGAAATGACGGCATCAAGCATGGGGTGATTTCTCTTCCACCCCTACTTCCTTCTCTTCTCCCTTCTCCTCCACCCCCACTTCTAATTCTCATCATCATCAACCAGGAGCCTTCTACATATACACCTCAAAGTAAGTGTACTTTATTGCATTTTTTTTTACTTTGAATGTAATTTTCGGTGAGCTGGAACCAATTACCCAAAATCCCACTGAAACATTGGTTTCGGTTAACGAAATTTTCGGTTAACGAACGACCTTCTGGAACGAATTGTGTTCGTTAACCGAGGGACCACTGTATCTGATACTCTGGATATTCCTGAATGGAAACCATTACTCAACAACCCCTGTAACAAAGCAAACCTGTTATAATACACGACGACACAAACCTTCCTGATGACACGAGTCACCTTTGGTGGAACAGGCGGTGACCGTGGGAAGACAGTTTGTCTCAAATGCAAAAACTTTGAACGTGGATGAACTCGAGCGTCTGAATCACGAAGGAGCAGACACAAGACTATTTGCACACACTGCACACAGCTGTAGAACACATGGCTCCAGGTGTGTTGTGATTCATGCATGTGATACTGATATAGTTCTTCTAAGTGTGTGTATCACTTCAGCAAGACTGGCCATACTAAAAGAGTTATGGATTCAAAGGAACAACAGGTATCTCTCTGTGCATGTTTGTTCAGAACCTTTCCACTAAGTATGAAAAATCACCTGCCTGTGATGTAATGTGCACAATAGTTCACAAGTCCAACATTGATAGAAGCTAAGATGTATCAAAGATCAAAACAGGTATTAATAATTTGATATCTTGCAGATAAATATTTTGCAAAAGACAAGGGACTTGGCTCCCTGACTATAAGGGTTGCCGTATTTTTCGGCTTGAAAGGCGCACTTTTTATAACAAAAATATACCTTGAAAATTACTGTGCGTCTTCCAGGACGCTAGTTGATAGTTGAAGCAGAGGTTTTCTGAGGGTCAACTGAAATCAGCCCCTTACAAAGACTGTTACCTCATTACAGTACTTAACAATTACAAGTATTCTCTATAGAGTACTATAAAACTATTGATTTAACTAATATTGTTGATATATTGCAAAAAAAATAAAAATAAACCCTTGCTGTTGTGTGGTTTATTTACTAATGGCAGTGGTGCGGCAGCGCCATCTATTGAGGAATTGCTAAAGGTTGTCTGCTGGTCTCAAAGTGCAGGAATGTTTGTTTCTTTATACATAGGCTCTCATATTTGGACACCTATTTACAGTAGGTTTTCATATTTGGACACCCATTTAGACTGTACAAGCCTCGCGAAATTAAAATCTTCCAAATTTAAATAAACTTCCTACGGAGAAAATTAATTTGAGTCTGGCACTTTCGATGTCTAGCTAAATTTGGCCTTATTTACCCTACTTTTTGTGATAATTACTACCTGTAATAAAGCAACATCCTAATAAACCAACAAAAATAACACAGATAATGTTAAATAAAAACTAAAAACAACACAGAAAAAGTTTTTGTTCTACAGCTTCAGCTAGAGTTGAACCTGATGACTTGGCAACTTTGTAATCCAAGTAAAAACACACACAACAACATTGGCTGTCCTTATGTTTTGAACTTTACCACCACTGGTGGGTAGAATTTACGTATTAAATTCAGAAACATTAATTAAAATATATATAAACAGTAAATAAGTGTTGTTTTCATATTCTTATGTAGAGTAATGACGATATGTTTTCATGTGTGCTCACTTACATACGCGATCTCACTTTTTTCTTTACCATTAGTGGTTAGCTACTTCCATTATTCCATTTATTAACATTAAATAACATTACTTAAAACAACCATATTAATTTTTTACAATAATTTTACTACAGCTACAACCAGGGTCTTATTATCTTCAGTTTTATATGTAGAACCAGTCAGTCACTGGTTTTGTAAACAATAACGAAAACAATGCCGTCTCGTCTCCTCATGTGTTTTAATATTCTACGTACAATATTATTAATAAATTGTATTGTTCATTTTGCACACAAACATTAATTCAATCAAAAAGAAATTAGGTAACAAACAATGAAGAATCTTTTGTACATAAGAGAAATTACGCTGTATTGTGCACGTCTGAACGTTGGCGGGCCGCTCAAACCAGTCAAAATTCGAGTTTCCGCCGTCAAAATTTGAAATTGTGTAGTGTTTTTTTGTCCAAATATAAAACGTCGAATTAAAAACTCGTGAAATTTGAGAACCTACTGTAGACTGTAAAAACCTCGCAAAATTCAAATCGTCCAAATTTAAATACAACTTCCTATGGATAAAATTTATTTGAGTCTGGTACTTTTGATGTTTGGCTAAATTTTGCCTTATTTACCCTACAGTACTTTTTGGGTGAATTACTACCTGTAATAAAGCAACATCCTTATAAACCAGGATTTGAAGATGAATAAAATGCTTTTGACTGTTTTACTGGACATGATATTTAGATATTTACAGTTTTTTTTTTGTTTTTATTGTTTGCTTACCAAAAATTTTTATTCAACTGATTTTTACAGAGTTTTTTTTACTTGAAATTTTTTGTTTTTAAATGAAGACTTTTTGTTTTATTTAGACGTTTATATACATGTTTACATTTGCTTACCTTCTACTGTTGGAAAATATTTCCCTTCGTTGTCATACAGACAAAAACAAGAGAAAGAATGTAAACACTACAGCCCGCTAGACGCTGAGGTGACCAGGTGTATAAAATGAGTGCTGTATTAAAGATTTCACCTCCTTATACAGATTATTGTTTTTTAAATTGATGAAAATGACGACTGATAAGCAGTTCTAAGTTATGATATTCAAAGAGGTGTGTGTACTTGTGCCAAAATGGCTGTATAATTATCAAGCAACAGTTTCGCTGGTGTCAGTAGATAGGCAGCTACCAAACAGGGAGGTACTACCGCCTGGGAAGATATTGGAAGCATAATGTGTTGTCTAATGGTAGACCCTGCTGCCATATGGCATCACAAAAATTGTGACCAAATCCCAGGTTCATAATCTGACTTTCTGCCTCATTTACACACAATTGCAGGGTCTCAATTGTTTCTCTTAATGTTGACAACACAACATACACATATTGTTTCTCACTATTGATTTTTGTTTAATTTTTGTATTTCTTTATGGTTCTCTATTATTAGTATTATTAGTATTACAATTTCACCCCCTAGGCCCTGAAGTGGGTCATGACTGTTCCAGGTGGCTAAGCCCAAAAAAAAAAAAAAAAAATAAATAAATAAAATTATATATATATATATATATATATATATATATATATATATATATATATATATATATATATATATATATATATATATATATATATATATATATATATATATATATATATATATATATATATATATATATATATATATATATATATATATATATATATATATATATATATACTGTATATATATATATATATATATATATATATATATATATATATATATATATATATATATATATATATATATATATATATATATATATACATGTGTGTGTGTGACAACATACCGTATATACTCATCTATAACCCCCCCTCGTTATCAGTCGACCCTGATTTTTTGACCAAGAAATCGTTAATTTATGATATTCCTCGTTTATAGTTCCACCCACGTTTTTGAGGGTAATGGAACAACAAAACCACTAAAAACGCTCTACGTCCTATAAACTGAGGCTCGCCGTGCATGAAACACAAGTGCTGAAGGCAAATTGTTTACCATTTATTATTACGACACTTTACACTGAAACCCGGGTAGTTTCAACAAAAATATTGTATATTTCCATTCAAGTATTTATTCAAGTCAATTAGGAGGGAATATTATTGAAATACAACAGTTTTTAAACTAAACCATTCGAAAAGCGATTACGGTAACATCTTTTGAACGAAAGAAAGCGAAAGTCATTGTTTTCGTCATGATTTTATCCCACTTTCCACTGTAATACGTATGTAATTTCAGGAAAAATATTACATTTCCGTGAATGTATTATATCAAGCACAGTATGAATAGAATATCATTGTAATATATCAGAATTTTAACCGAAAACTATTAAAAAAACGAGTAACATCTCAAGAACATCGGAAGGTTAGGTAAAGTCTTATGTTTTCGTCATGTATTTTATCCTATTTTACATTGAAATACATCACGTTTCCACAAAACTACTATTTATCTCCGAGAATATATTCATTCAGGCGCAGTTTAGGTAAAATAGACGAGTGATGTAATAGTTTTTTAACTGAAAACGATTCGAAAAACACGTACCCTCTAGCCCTGTTCAAAGAGAGGACTGGGAGAAGCTGTTTAGTGCTGCAGACGATGACAAGGAAAATGATTTTGATGAATTTTAATGAAAAGATTCAGAAATATGGTATCGTAGTATTTATTCAAGTCAATTAGGATAGAATATTATTGTAATACAACAGTTTTTGAACTGAAAACCATTCGAAAAGCGATTACGGTAACATCTTTTGAACGAAAGAAAGCGAAAGTCATTGTTTTCATCACGATTTTATCCCACTTTTCACTGTAATACGTACGTTCAGCAAAAATATTACATTTCCGTGAATGCATTATATCAAGCACAGTATGAATAGAATACCATTGTAATATAACAATATTTTGAGTCCTACTCTTTCCATTTACAGAGTACTGTACAAGCCCATAATAATGGCTCCTAAAGTAGATAAACTTCGTTGTGTGAAGAGAAAAAAGAACACATTGAAATTGAGTGACAAACTTGAAATAATTAAGAAACTAGATCGTGGTGTGAGCAATACTGTTCTAATGGAAACATACGACATTGGAAAGTCTACAATTTATGATATATAAAAGGCAAAGAATAAAATTTAGAATTCACAGCTTTTTCATTAAAACTGCTCGTTTTGATAAATGAAGCATGCTATATTTGCAAATGAATAAACTATCAAAATGTACCTGTTCATTTCTTCTTTATTCTTCATTAAATTTGAATTTTAAAAGTACTGCCTGAGAATCCGGAAAATCCGAAAATCCGGAC